GGAAGCTGACTGACACAATTTGGGAGCTATACAAAATGCCATCAAACCGCCCATTACACTGTACCTTGTTCGCTTTACTCCACGGTACCTGTAGGTATTCCATCCAAATTAAGTCTATTCTTCGCACAGACTATCCTTAAAATAGATACACACATATCTTTATTTCTCTATCCATGGGCACTGAGGCTGTATCTTGTGCTTGGTTGTTTTGTTTTGTTTTGCTCTTACTGTTTCAAAACTGACATGCTAAACCTCTTCTAAGAAGCACCACATGGAAGATGCCAGAAGGAGATTTACTTTGAACATGAGCATTTCATTTCAAAGTGCAGCCTCGACTTTCAATGGCACCCCAGAAAGGCAGCCTCATCCCTGGCCGTCACGCCCCGAGAAGCCAAAATCCACAGGCGCCTGCCTCCCTGCCTCTCCCTGGCCTCCGCAGCACTGATGTGCACAGATCACGCGGGGCTCTCCTCCTGGGCCCCGGCAGCCTCCTGCTATGTCCCCAATCCCTGCTCTCGTTCTATCCCTGACAGCTCCGCTTTCAATTTGCACCAGGCATCGTGGGAGGGCTGGTTTTAATTTTCCACACTGCTGCCACAAAGCAGCACCCAGAAAGATGGAAAGCCAGTCTTGGGAAGTTTCCAGCTTCGCCTCCTCAGAGGACAGGCAGGCCAGGCCGCTGTCTCTCAGTCCATGGTCCAGGGTCTAGCTTCTGCTGCTGGCATGCTGTGCTGGACCAAGCATTTTACCCCTCTGGGTCTACTGTCTTTCTCTGCCCAGCCCTGCCATCCTCCCGGGCTTAGCAGAAGAAGGCCCTAGAAAGGGGGAGGAGCCAAGAAGCCCTGTCTGCCTCAGCCTTCAGGAGCACCAGCCTTTCTGCTGCCTCAGGAGTACACCAAGCTCGGTCCTGCCTTCCAGCTCTGTACCTGCCATTCCTCTTGCAGGTCCCTGGTCCCTGTCTGAAGAAGGCAGAGGAGGGCAGCAAGGCACCAAACCACCCAACACACCCCAGGAGCTCTTCATCGAGGCTGCCATGGCCTCTGATCTTAACACATTAGACTCATATTGTACTCAGTGGGGCATCATTTCAATAGGGTAAAAGCAAATTTCTAGAGTTCAAATCCCAGATCTGCCAGCTACCGCACAAACTTGAATACCTTGCCTCACCTTGCTGTGCCTCACCTTTCTGTTTCCTTACCTGTAAAGCTGAGGATGATGCTAGTAGCGCCTGCCTCAGGAACTGCTGCGAAGATTAAACCAGCTGATACATGCAAAGACCTCAGTGCAGTGTCTGGCGCACAGCAACTGTCTCATCATCTTCTATGCCAGACAGCAGACCCAGGGCTGGGGGTAAAACTACGTACACAGTAAGTAGATGACTGCTAGATCTGCAGCTATCAGCTCCACTTACAGATGAGAACCTTGAGACCCAGGAAGGCATCAGTCAGAGCAGAAAAAGGAAGCATGAAGTGAGCTTCTTGGGAACTTTGCATGTACCATCTCATTTCACCTCAGAACAATGCTATTTGTGGGTACAGGTGACTCATAAGAACTCACACAGTTTGTGGTAGACGGGGACCCCATTTCCTGGGCCTTATCTAAGATGGGCTGATTCCATCTTTGCCCCTTGTTACAAGTGGGCAAGTGCCACTGCCTGACATATCAGCACTTTGCACCCCTTGGCCATAATGATTGGCTCTGCGCTGGGTGTGTGGCCACATGTAGTCCAATGAACGGCCTGGCTGGAAGTTTAGGGGACTAAGGCAGAGAGGACTCAGCTGAAACTAGGACTCACACGGAAGACAGCAAAGCCCCAGAGGGGGCAGAAAGAAAGAGAGCCGGGCTCTGTGAGTCCCAGCAGGAACCTGGACCAGGAACCTCCTCTTCCTCAAGCCAGTATAATCTGAGTTTGTCCTTTCATCAGAAGGTTCCCAGCTGACACCAACAGCCTGGTTGGTTCGTGAGCATGGCTCCTTAGTCTACACCCTGCTAAGTTTGTTGCCCTCTTTGCCACCAAAAATCATTCTGGTCCTAGCCAAGGAACAAAACTCATGATTCCCCAAAGCTGATCTGGGAGACGGAACACCCAAGAAAGGGGGATTTTGCTGAGAAGGAAACTACTCCATTGGAAAACTCTCCCTGCTGCCTGCTGAGATAGGTGCGCACATAGGTGCCCCTGTACACGAGCAGGATGCTCTATTCAACTTCACTCCAGCAGGGTGGTGGTGCACAGAACCAAGCAGACACTGGGTGATGGCTTGCATCGCAGCCCTTGGTCTGCCAGGTGATGGCAGCACTGTTGGGTGCTGAAATGATCTGCATGTTTTCCTGGAGGAAAACCATCAAGATTTCTGTCCATACGCCCTCCCCAGGATTTGCCTAGGAGGCTGAGTCAGAGAACGGTGCTGCTTGTCAACTGGCTGCCCTTTTTGGTCTCTGATCTTTCAAGGAATTAAATGCCTTTACATAACAAAAGAGCTTGGAACAAACTCAAATTCATTTTGGGGGAAAATGAGATTTTGAGAAAAAAGTTCTCTCTGGGGGTGATTTCAATAAGCATGCAATCCAAAGGGGCAGCTCGCCCTCTTCCTTGGATAATACAGTGGTAACGATAGCGGCTACCACTCACGGTCATACATGGAGGCCAGCGTTGTGCTCCTCTCTTCGAAGATGCTCGCAAGTTTTGTCCTCGCTATAACCTTAGACAGAGGAACAAGTAATTGTCATTTTGCCTGTGAGGGAGCTAAAACTCAGAGAAGTGTAGGAAATGTGCAAAGCCACACACCTAGTTGGCCATGAATCTGGGGTTAGACCTATGTCGGAGACTGAACAGATGATGTGACTTCTGTCTCTCAAAATCCTGGAACAAGAAGGCTTGCTGCAGTATCAGGTTTCAACAGGAAGGCAACCCAGTGCCAACCACAGTTAGCCAACGAATTTAAACCCAAGGTAACTGAACACCAACACCCAGCCTGGCAAAGGCTTGGCACACCATGCGTGTGACTACAGCTAGCAAGAGGCTAGAAGGAACGGTGCAGGAGAGAGTTGGTGCTTATCACACGCTTACATTGTGTCCACCGCCACTGCTTCATACAACACACAGCTCCTGCGGCAGCCCAGGCATGGTGTGAGGTTCTAGATCAGGTGCATTATTTTTTTCATTCGTGTTCCACTTCGTGAAATCTTGATCTTGTCCCTCCTGGTTTTGACATCTCATTTTGATCGATGTAGAAAATGAGGCTGAGTGTTCAAGGACAGCTGAGGGCCCCTGGAAGGGTCTGAGCTGAGACTAACCCTCATCTCCCTTACTCCAAACACAGGAATTCTTGACAATATTTAAAACAATGCTCCAGGAATACCCGAAGTCTCTCCCTGTGTGGGTGGCACTGAGGACTGAGTACATGATACCTTCTCCCCTCCTCAACTTCCCACACTGTCCAGGTGTCCAGGGGGTGTCTCCTGCAGGGGGATGTACACAGTGAGGTGCTGGCTTGACTCAGATGAGCTCACAGGAGCCAGTTAAGATTCTAGGAATCTTGTGAGCCAGGTGCCATCATGTGGGCAGCTAGCAATTGGCCACAGTAAAAGTACTTACACCACAGAACTTGGCAAATGCTACAGATCGGGAGCTTTTTCTCCTTCCCAGAGAACCAGTTGTTAAATATTTTCCAGCGTAGGACTGGACTTCAGATATCCATCCATCCATGCATACATTGATCCATTCACTCAAATAAGTACATTTGTTATGTAATATTTAATATTTGCTATATCATATTGCCTGCATTCACTTACATCCTTTTTCAGCAAACTTTGATTCGTGATCAGTCTTACACCAGGTTTAGCAGGTTAAGACAGACCTGATGATCCCTGTACTCGCAGGGCTCACAGTCTAATGAGGGAGCCGGATTTTAACACCTGCCACCCAAAAAAGCCACATGTCCTATACTACAAGTAGAAGTTAACCAATTTAAGCTGGTGGGATGGGGCAGAGAGACTCCAGGCAGAGGGAACAATACACGCAAAGTCCTGCTGCAGGAAGAAGTTTTGGGTGATCCAGGAAGAAGTCCAAGGTGAGCATAGCCAGAGAAGAAAGTGCAAAGGAAGGAAAGAGCCAGAAAGGGGCCTGCCGGGCCTTAGGGGCCATGTGAGGGATTCATCTTTATTCTACAGTCTTCAAGCCTCAGTAATCTACCCAAGGAGCCCCATGGTTCAAGGCCTGTGGAGTTCAGTCCTGTTTCCTCACCACAGTCTCTCTACGGTCCATCTCTAGACCTCAGTTCCTCCTTCGAAAAGTGAACATAAAAATGGGGCCAAGACCTTCAGAAGGCGATGTGGGGATCCAGTGAAGATAGATGAGAAGCGCTTAGCTCCATATCTGGCCAGCTGCAAACCTCAGTGAGCGGGACCATGACATTTCCCTTCTCCTCAAGGGCTCATTCAACCTGTTTTCTTTCTTACACTCAGTCCTGCATTTTTATCTAGTGCCAAGCGTTGTGCTGGGCACTGGGGAAGCAACAGCCAACAAGTCAGGTGCAGTGGAGGAAGGGCCCCTGCCTCCTAAATGCTTGCCTTGAACCAACACCCCCAAAACTTATTGCATTGCTACTCCTGCCCGGCCAACCTGGGGTCCATGGAATAAGACCTCCCCTCTGTCACCCACAGCTCCGGGGCTGGTTTCCCAGCTCCTGATCCCCATGCTTCTGCCGGCGGCTGTTCACTCTAAAGTCCAGCTGTGTGCTTCCCCAACGCTCTCCCCAGTAAGTCTGTGAGCGTCTGGAGGCCAAAGTCTTAATGCCCAATCAGCCAGGCGCCTGGCACACAGAAAGCCATCAGTCAGGGTTGGTTGGATGAATCCTAAGCCACACTTAGAGGTGGAGCGAGAGAGGCTTTATTCTCTACATTTAACCCCAATCCTTTCTCACGCCCTGCTGTCAAAGGCCACCCCAGGCCCCCCATGTGGGGAAGGACGCTTCTCCCTCCACCGCCCTCCCCAGACTCACTGAGAAGTTGTCGACTTGAGTCGCTGACTGTCACGTTCTCTTGCCAGAAGGGGTTCATCAGCGGGGTGCACGGGCTCCGCACTGGAAGGGACGGGGTGGGATGAGGAGCTAGTGGGCTGGGGGTTGGGTTTCCGAACCCCAGCCCGCCGTTCCGTCCTCTCGATCGCTCTCCTCCAGGGTGGGGGAGCGCTAGCGCAGGTGGGAGCAGAGATGGGCACCTCCAGAAGCGCTTTTGCAGCCCCAGCGCTCGGAACGGCCCACCCCGCTCCCCTTCCCGGAACCCTTAAACATTGCGCTGAGACCTGGGGGAGGGGTGCGCACCGAGCAACAGGTCCCCCCACCGTCCCCACGTGTACACTTACCCCGGCAAGTCCGCCAGAGGCCAGAGTGGGAGCTCAGAGGTTCGGGGTGGCTGTGGTTGGCGGCTCCCAGCCGGTCCAGCGCCGCCGGCCCGCGGCTCTCCAGCCGCTCGGTGTCGATGATGTACCAGAAGTCCGTGCCGATGGCGGCGGCCAAGAGCACGAAGCTGAGCGCCCCACTCAGCGCCGCTGCGCCGGCCAGCGCACCCAGGTGCAACCGCATCACCGCGTCCGGACCCCAAGCCTCGGGGTGCTGCGGCCCTCTGCGCCTGCCCGCGCCCCTTGGACTACTACCTATCCCTGCTCAGCCCTCGCCGAGGAGCTCCGACTGGAACTCCGCCCTTTGGACCTCCGGCCCTGGCTTCGAGCTCACACCCTCACCTGCGCTGGGAAGCGCACGAGCTCCTCTCGCAGACCCCGCACCCAGGACGCTTCTGCCTGCACCCTCTCACCTGCGCACGGTGGGATCGCCCCTCCGCCTTCAGATCCCCCCAACAGAAGCACCCTAACCCTCCTCTTCCCTCACACGCCTAGCCCACTTACACCTCGCCCCAATTCTGCACTGTCCCTCAAACCCCTGCTCCCTCCACTTCCTGGCTCACTGTCCCCTGGACATCCTCTCCACCCCAGCCCCGTTGCTCCGCACACCGCCGCCTCTCTCCAAGGTCTCTCCTAGCCCGCCCTCCCACAGCTCGCGCTCCCTCCCCGCGCCGTGCCCCAGCAGTGGCCGAGGACCGAGCTCTGAGCGCGCAGACAGCATGGGCCGAGGGCGGTGCCCAGCAGGCGCCAGGGGCCAGGATGCGCGCGCGAGAGAGGCGGTCTTCCTGCCACTTCTGGGAGTAAAAACGACGGGCGAGGGACTCACAGTCCAACCAGGGTTTGCAGATATTCTGCTATGGCATACTCCCTCCACCTCCAATCACCTTGCTCCTAAAATCCACCTTCCAGTGGTTCTTCTGTGCTGGCTACTGAGAGGAGAAAGGCAGATTCGTTTTTTATAAAAGTTCCTTAAAGTAATGGTCTAGACCAGGTTCTCTATGTCTGTCCTGTCCACCGCCAAAGTCTTTCTTCACCATCATAACTGATGCCACCTCTACTGCTACCACTATCACCACCATCACTATCACCACCACCAATCATCACCACCACCACACCACCACTACCATCACCACTATCATCATTGCTACCACCATCCCCACCTCTACCACCATCACCAGTACCAGTGTTATTACTATTCTCTTCTCTGTCATCACCCATACCCTTATCCATTCTACCGTCTTCTGCACACAGCACAAAACCTTCCATTCTTCTAAGAACTACTTCTTGAGCCTTCTCCATGCCTCACACTAGGGTTTATGTTAAGGATGCAGGCAAGAATATAGTGCCTGTGCCTACTATACAGTGCAGTCTTTTTCAAAACAAAGCAATCAAAAAAAAATACTCATATGTCTGTGACACATAGTGGTAAATGAAAGAGGATTCCAGGCTTGGGGCTATGCTACCAATGGTACCCCAAAGTTCCCTTTGTGGATAGGAAATCAAAATCCTGGCACCCCTATGACACATTCTTAGGGAATCATCATACCAAGCCTCAAAGTTGATATTCTCTGGTCAAGTTGAGGAAAGAATCATTAAGCAAAGTGCTTAGACCCACTGAATTGCTGCAGGGAAAGTAGCAAAGAGGGTCTTAGCTAGTCTTTCTGAGGAAGTGGCATTGTTACTGAGACAGGAGGAATATACAGCATTGAGTGTTTCACTGAGCATTTCATTGGTGCCTTCTAGAGGAGCTGAAAGGAAGACAATCAGAATTAGAACAGTGTGGGAAGCACATGGGGGAGAGGAGATGAGACTGAGAACGTAGGAAGGATCCCTAGTTGTGCAGGTCTGAAGATCCGTGATAGCTCAGGTTTTATCTAAACTACCAAATGATTCTGAGGAGGGATGTGAAATGCTCTAACTTACATTTTTTAAAAAACTCAGTCTTCCTCTAGGAGGAAGTGTCTATCCATTTTAGTTGTCCATGTTCTGATTGGATCTTTTATTTGGGGAGTCTGGTTTTTCTGAGTTCTTTATATATGCTACATATTAATCCTCTGTCTGAGGTATAGCTGGCAAAAAATTTTTCCATTCTGTAGGTTGTTTCTTTACTCTTTTGGTTGTTTCCTTTGCTGTATATCTTTTCTGTCATAAAGAAGGATAAATCTGAGTCATTTGTAGGAAAATATATGCATCTTAAGACCACAATGCTAGGTGAAGCACATCACACATGCAAACTGCAATATCACATGGATCCTCTTTTAAGAGAAATCAAAAGTAAAATAATGTAAAGAGCAAAATAAAGGATAGACAATAGGAAACAGGGAGGTAGATCTTCAGCAGACATGAAGGGGATCTAGAGATGGAGAGAGTGGAAGAGAAGGGAAGTGAAGAGGAAATAAAAAGAATTAAGATGTGCTGTGGACCTGTACCAACTCCCCACATTGAATGTGATCATTATGTACCACAAACATATGTTAATTAAAAAAATTTTAAAAACCCTCAATTTCTCTGCTAACTTGGTAAGCAAAGGGGCCAGTTAGGAGGACACTGCAGTGGAAGATACAAAAGATCCTAGTGCTTTAGGCCAGGTAGTGGCATGGGGAGGGAAGTGACCTGAATTTTTAAAGTTGAAGGCTGTTATAGTTTAAATATGAAGTGTTCGCCAAAGACTCGTATTGAGGGCTTGATCCCCAGTGCAGTAATGAAATCTAGAGAGGTTACTGGGTCATGAGGGAGAACACTTACCTGTCAGTGGAGTAACTCACTGATGAGCTCATAGCTGAATGGTCTGTTTGGAGGTGGGGGTCCAACCAGAGGAAGTAGGTCACTGGGAGAATGCTTTTGAAGGATATACCTTGTTCCTGGCCTCTTTCTTTCTAGCTCTTCCCCTCCTTTCTGCTTCCTGGCTGCCTTGAGGTGAGCAGATTTTCTTTGAGGCCCTTCTGCTGTGATATTCAGCCTCACTGCTGGTTTAAAAGCCATGGAGCCAGGCAGCCATGGACTGAACCCTCTGAAGCCATGAGCCGAAATAAATCTCTTCCTTTAAGTTGTCTTTTCCAGGTATTTGGTCACAGAGACAAACAGCTACCTGACAGCTGACTAGAACTGACAGGAAATACTAATACACTAATGCTGAGTTTTCTCTTCCTTGTTACTGGATTCATCCTTATCAACACCATTTTAACCTTCACCTTCATTCTGCATAACATTCTGGGCCATCACTGTTGGGCCACCATTTTGATTAAGGCTGATCTTTCCCCTAGCCATCACCTGACAGCTTTGCTTTCAATGCTGTGAAAGTATTACCATCTCATCATTTGTATCGCCATCAAAGTGATCCACACCATACCTTATAGATGAAAGTAAAATTCAACTGAGGTTGGTCCTGGGAGCCCTGTCTTTAAGGTTCCATCTCTCTCCTCTTTCTCTTTCTTTTTCCAGCTATGTTGTTTTCCTCTTGCTTGACTTTATTCTTCAAGCAGTCTCAGCTATGGAGCTATAGACATTCCTTTTCACAGCTTAGCAACACCAACAAAAAGAATCTTTCTCAATGGTAGTCACAAGATTTCCAGAAAGAAATCTCATTGGCCCACCTGTGAACAAATGTTCCCCTCTGAGCCAGCACCTATAGTTCCATAGAACAAAATGTGCTGACTGGCCAAGTCTGGATCACCCACCCTCTCCTAGACCCAGCAGTGAGTCAGTTGGTCCCATCACCCTGAGCTAAGCATTGTCATGGCAGCAAGATGTACCAAATAGAAATACAGGATTCTAGTTGAGCTAGAATTTCAGATGAATAATGAATGTTTTAATGTAAGTATAAGTTTCATGCAGTAGTTGAGATATACTAAAAAATGTATTGTTTACCGGAAGTTGAAATTTAACAAGCTCTTTTGTATTTTATCTGGCAAACTCAGCTGGCTCCATAAAGGAAAATCAAGGGTAACTGGACCAAAACCAAGAGAATGGACAATGGCAAGCAAAACCCAGAGATACCCCCTGCCCCTAACATGGGCATCCCCCTCCCTGGATCCCACATGCCTCACTCACATATTGAAACATTCTTCTAGGTTTGTGTGCAAACATAACCTTGTAGGTTTCGAGATTTCTATTTATCCTGAGGATTTTAATATAATCTTCTTGAATCGTGCTCAGTCACTCTAAAAAGAACAGAAAGTAATGTTTTTTAATGATTCCAGGGAGGGGAGGATTACATCAAACACTGGGCAATATCATCACGCAGCCAGTCAACTGAAGAGGCGTGATCGAAATCAAAGACTCCTGAGGCAGGACCCAAATAGAACACAGCACTGAAGATTAATGCTCTACCATGCTAGCAAGGTAGGAGATGTGATTGAAATGCATGGTGAATGTTGATTGCAGTAAAAGACACATTGCCATTAATCCCCCTCAAAACACTCTCCCTTGCTTCAAGCATATTTATTCCATCACTCTTGCCACTTTCTAAAGTGGTTCTGGAAGTCCTCTTTTGTGTCTCTAAGAGTTGTGATCAAAAACACAGGGAAGGCTGCAGTCACATGTCATCCAGTGGAAAGGCAGCCTTGTTAAAAAAAATAAAAGTTATGGTGCGTCTTCATCCACCTTATTCACCAGGCACTGTGTGATTTCTGGCTCTTCCCTAAAGTTGAAATGACCATGAAAGGTAAATCTCTTTAATTCATTCAGGACACTGAGGCAGCCACAACAGTGCTGTTAAAGACTCTCATGAAAGAGGATTTTAGAGTTGATAGGATAAGTGTGTTTGAAGTGAGGGGGAGGATTTTGAGGGAAATGAATGGCAATGTGTCTTTTACTGTAATAATTTATTTGATCCAAACATCCACCATAGACTCTTATCACCCCTGTATAGTAAGGTGGAGAATAGTACTCAGCAAGAATTGCAGAGTCTGGGCCCAAGTCTTAAACCAGCAACTGACAGGATGTATGAGTCTGGAGAACTTGTCTTCCTTCTCCAAGCCTTGGTTTCCTTCTCATAAAACAGAGATGTTCACTATGTCCCAGAAGGACATTGTGAAGATGAGAGGGAATGAGGAGCCTAAAATTCCCCTTATGATCAATGAAGGGTCTGTACCAACATTACTACAGTATGTGGAAAGCACTGTGAGAAGAGTAAGTATGTTTATCAACTTTTTTAAAAAGTGTTTTAAAGGAAAGAGAAGGAAGGCAGAGGAAGGAGACCCCACTGTCAGGTCAAGAGTCACCTTTCACTGTGAGGCATTGGGGTATCACAGAAACACTACAGGTTTTTATTCAGTGAGACTTGCGTTTGGCTCTTGGCCCTCTTACTGAATGAACAGCGTGTGAACTCGGGTAGACTGCTTTTTCTGGTGCCTCAGTTTCTCTATGTGTAAAGTGAATATTAACAGCATCACTCCAATCTCATGGCCCTCTTCCCTCTGTGTCTCCCAGCCTGCACATAAGGACACCAGCCTTTGGCCTTAGGATCAAGCCTAATCCTGTCTGACTTCATCCAAACTAATTATAGCTGCAAAATCATAACTCCAAATAAGCACATCCTGAGGTTCTGGGTGCACATAAATTTTAGGAGGACACTACTCAACCCAGTATAGCTGTCAAATGTGATCTGCAGCAATCCAGGCACCAACAGTACCCGCCAACACTGCTTTTTCATTAGAGATCCATCTTTTTCTTCCTCTCTATCCAAGGAGCTGTGGAGGCAGAAATAGTCCTTACTTGTGTTTTTGCCCAATCCTATGAGTCCATGGTCTGTTTGTGAACTCCCTTACCTAGAAAAGAAAAGGTGCATCTATCCCTAGCCCCATGAGAAAATCCATCTCCCATCTACCAGATGAACCGAGGCTTGCACCTGAAATCAGAACGTCAGGGCTTTCTCCGCCAGGCATGATCCACATGGCTCCATCCAAGCACAGTCTCAGTGTTCCTTCCATGCTAAGTCCCTCACAGCTGGACAGCTCAGAAGCGAGCTCACCTTGCCAGCCCCATGCACCCCAACCTTTGGGCTCCCTGAACAGAAGTTCTTTCCCACCTCTGGGCCTTCATCCTGGCTGTTCCCTTTAACTAGAACACTCTCATCCCCACTCTTTCTCCTCTCTCAACTTAAAAATTACTTCTTCGGAGAGTGATCACGTAACACCCCAACTTGGGTTAAAGGCTCTCCCAATCAGCTGATACAAATGTGGATGGTGCTCCATCAAATCCCCTGGGATGCCCCGTGTTTTCAGCTCAGCTCATACTATGCACCTCATGGCTCTCTACGCAGGTCTGCCCTTCCCGAGAGAGAAGGCTGGGATTGCTGGTGAGTGAAGGCCCCAGGAACAGCCCTCAGCTAAGGATGAATGGATTGGAAGATCATCAGCCCTACTATCTCATCCCTCAGGGAAGGGTTAAACTCTGGGACATGTACTCCTCCATCTCCTAGAGGGTCCCACAGCTCAGTGACCTGTCTTAGGGAGACCAT